GGCAGAGACCCCGCTGAAACCAAGAGGCACGAGACAGCAGTGGGCTTGCCAGCCCACAGAGCAAGAAAGCTGAGTGCCCTTGTGCAGGAGGCCTCCTGGCAGAGTGGGGCGCACATAGGTGTACCTATTGGCAGAGCTTAATGAGCTTTGTAATCCTTGCCTGGGCAGGGCAGAGGTCAGGCCAAGAGGCCAAAGGCCAGAGAGGCGTGCCTGAAGGTATGGCAGAGGGGAGATGGTCCTAATCAAAGAATTGTATCCTGAGCACATTCCTGAACCTGAACTATAGCCTGTTACTTCCCTAATAAATCCCACAATCGTTAAGTATTGTCTGTGAGTTCTGTGTGGCCATTCCAACAAATTATTGAACCCAGCAGAGAAGTAGTAAGTACCATGGGAGGGAAGGCTGGTGTCAGAATTGGTGAAAGGCTGGAGGGTGGCAGCATGTCTGGCCTCATAGGAATAAGCCTTGGGCTGCTGATGGTGATGATATCGTCCTCTTGTGAAGTTGGAGACGGGCAGAAGATGCCACCTCCATGTGCATTTAGCAACTTTCAATGAGATGGATTGACACAGTGGCTGCAACAAGGGACTCAAACGTAGCAATGATTATGAGGATGGTGCAGGACCTGGCAGGGTTTCATTCTGTCGTACACAGGGTAGCTATGAGTTGGAGCAACTACAACAAATCAAAAAGGCAACAGCAAATACCTGGAATGTGGACGCTAATCGATGGTAAGAAGCAGAGGAAACAGAGAACTCCTCCTCCTTCCCAAAGTTGTTTTGTTTTCTTAAGTCTGAGAAGGAAGGGGGCTCTCCTGTATATTCTGACTGTTGGGTTCATGAGGGTCGAGGTAGGGGAGTACTTAAAGTTATGTCACAGACACACCACACACTAAAGATAGGCATTCAGCATTTGAATGGGGTTGTGAAGAGTTTGTATTTACAATTATTATTTTCAATAAATATCACAATATTTGCGAGTCCATCTCTAAGTCAAGATCTGAGTTTTTGCCTCCAGTGAACCGGATGTTATTGCATCTTGATTACCTTTATTTCCTGTTTTCACAAAGCTTCCCCACCTTTTCAAGTGTTTTGTTTGCTGTAAAAATCAGCGCATAAGGCTAACCTGTAAGATGCTAAGTCAGTTGAACTACCAGAGTTTTATGCATGTCTCTTCTAAAACTGGCTAAGGGTTGGATGCCTTTGCGTCAACTCCAACTCACAGTGACCCCGTGTGTGTCAGCAGAACTGTCCTCCACAGGGACTCCAGTGGCCGGTTTTCAGAAGTGGATTCCAGGCCTTTCTTTCAAGGTACCTCTGGGTGGACCAAACCTCCAACCTTTTGGTTAGCAGCCCAGGGCATTAACTGCTCGCACCTCCCAGGGACTCTGACCAAAGGTCCTACTCCTGCTAGAAGTTGTGGTAACATAAGGGCAGGTGGGGCTACAGTGAGAGGCTGAAGCCAGCTGCTTCAGTTCCGAGAACTGACTGTGGACATCTCTCCCCAAGACAATGTTCTGTATGTCATGTTTAAAATGGGCCATGCGATCTACGAAGGGAACAATTACACCAGGTAGGTGCACTTCTTAGAACAATAAACCATGGGAGATT